CTAAGGGATAGTGTTTAGCCCCTGAGTTGAAGCTCCAGTACCCGTGTGTGTGTGTGGATGGGTGTGTGTGGGGGTGTGGGGGGGAGTGTGTGTACCACCAAACAAAACAATGGACCAGAGAGGTAGAATAACTTGAAGTGGTAGAAACAGGATCTCAATCCAGGTAGGTCACTGTGACTCCAGAATCCTTTCTCACTGCTATGAATGTCCCATTTAAAAACCTGAGGTAACTCACAAAGTAAACTTTCTGTAAGTTATCAATCATTCTCAAAAAGCAGAAAGTGCCTGGGCACTGGTAGCTCACGCCTGTAATCCTAACTATTCAGGAGGCTGAGATCTAAGCACTGTGTCTGGTTTGGACCCAGGATGGGCAAAAAAAACCACTGAGACCCTTATATCCAAATAACCAGCAAAATTCTGGGAGTAGAGGTGTGGATTATGTGGTAGAGTACCACTGCTGAGCAAAAGAGCCGAGTGAGAGAATGGGGTCTTCCATTCAAGCCCCAGTACTAGAACATACACAGAAAGAAGGCAGGAGGTGCATGCAGGCAATCTGGAATCAATTCAGACCATCACTCACGTAATTCAGGTGAATATTCCCAGAAGATTACCCTTTTTGGTTCAAGAAAAGTCAGTTCTCTGTGGCCAGGATCTGGGAGCAATGGACAATCTTCTAGCTGTTTTCATACCTAACAGCACTTGCCTCTTTGTAAAGGGTGCAGACCTTCTCAAAACCTGGTGACAAGCCAGGTGTGCTTGTGTTTGCCTGTAATGCATAGGCCAGTTTGAGGAGAAGTAGAATATTAGTACTAGAACCGGATTCTAACTCTGTTCCCAGCATTCATTATTTCAACAATAATGGCTCTGCATCTCATTGGTGAGTATGAAATGTTGGCCATTGTTAGTGCTGCTGTTATTTTTGTGTGCCAGGCACTGTTCTAGAGAGTACCAGAAGCAGGGGGATGCTGAAGTAGCCCCTAAGATCCCTTCTCCTGGTTTTTTTCACTTTCTGTGTAATCCCTGTCCCATGAGGTGGGTGGGGCAGTGGCATGCTGACCAATGGAATATAGCAGAGGTGACCTCTGTGAGTACCCATGATCATGTTATATAGGATTGTAATAGCCTCTTTTTCCATTACTGGCTTTCTCTCCCCCCCCCCCCCCCCCACCATCGTGGGGCTTGAACTCTGGGCCTTGGCACTGTTCCTGACCTCTTCAGCTCAAGCCAAGTGTTCTACCACTTGAGCCACAGCACCACTTCCAGTTTTCTGGTGGTTAATTGGAGATTAGAGTTTCACAGACTTTCCTGCCCAGGTTTGGCTTGGAACCACGATCCTCAGATCTCAGCCTCTTGAGATCTAGGACTACAGATGTGAGACACTGGAGCCCTGCCTTTCTTTACTGGCTTGAAGGAAACAAGTGGCCATGTTGGGCCATGACATTGGTAATGTATGGAAGGCAGCTAATAGTGGTCTTTTCAGAAGATAAAATGTATATGCATGTAGATAAGTAGCATGGTTATAGCTAGGGGTCCTAGGTGAAAGACAGAGGGATTTTCTGATATGCTTCTGCCAGGATGGTGATGACCATATTTACAACATTTATCCTCCTACAAAGTGAGCTGCCATGCATTGAACAGCAGTTGGGGAACCTTACATCTGGTCCAGAGTATGCTGAGGAAATCATTTGTTTATCCAAATATTTATTAAGCAGACCTTCAGAGCAGCAAGCAAGAGAAAGCAAACAACAGGTGGATGGGAAATCGCCAGCCAGTGTGAGAGGAAGTTTGGAAGCTTAGGAATCTAGGACAGAGGTATTGGCGCTGAGCCACACCAGTGGCAGGGAAGGTAGGTCAGGAACACCTTCCTGAAGAAGTAATTCAAACCTGAGAACCACAAGATGTCTGGGATCTAGCAATCCCACTTCTGGTTGTTTACCCAAAAGATGTGACATCAGGATTTGAAAGCGATGTGCCCAGACTCATCATGATTTCTAGTAGTCAAGTTAGGAAAGCAACCTCAGAGTTGTCCATTGGATGAAAGAGGAGTTCCAGCCATGAGCACAAAAAGCCAAGTAAGAGAGTGTGGGCTAACTGGGGTGTTGCTCAGTGGAAGAACTCTCACTTATTGCACATGAGGCCCTGGGTTCTATCCCTAGGTCCATGAAAATATATGAAAAAAAACACAGGAGGAGAATGATGGAAAGAGGTGACATTGATCAAGATATATTGTATTCAGAAACTGATTTGTTGAACAGTAACTCTTTTGTAAAGCTACTTAAAGATCATAAAAAGGCTGGGAAAGTGGCTTAGTGGTAGAGGGCTTGCCTAGCATGCATGAAGCCCTGGGTTCAACTCCTCAGTACCACATACACATTGCAGGAAGTGGCACTGTGGCTCAAGTGGTAAAGTTCTAGCCTTGAGCAAAAGAAGCTCAGGGACAGTGTCCAGGCCCTGAGTTCAAGCCCCAGGACTGGCAAAAAAAAAATCATAAAGAAATATAATTAAAAAACCTACCACAACAGGACCTGTCCAGGATGTGGGCAGGAATGGAAGAGGGAAAGTGACAATGAGGGTAAAGAAGGTACAATGGTCAACATATACAACTGTAATTTGCCAACATAGGAATTTTTTTGTGAGGCTTCTCTCTCTATATATATTTTTTGAGATGTGGGGGTCTCTCTATGTTGTCTCCAATGCCTAGGTTCAAATAATCCTTCTGCCTCAACCTCTAGACTAGCTAAGACTACAGGATGCTTGGCATTTTTTAGTTTTGTCATTATTATTGTTATTATTACTGGTTATTAGAATCCACATACATTTGTGATATAAAGATATTTCATTGTGATATTTCCATACATGCACATGGTATTCTTTGAACAAATTGATCCCCTCCACCATATTCGCATTACTCCCCTCCTCCTTTTTTCAAATAGTGTTTGGTGGGTTTTAATACACACACACACACACACACACACACACACACACACACACACACTTTTTTTGTTTTTGGGTCCGGTCATGGGGCCTGAACTCTAGGCCTGGGCGCTGTCCCTCAGCTCTTCAGCTCAAGGCTAGCGCTCTACCACTTGAGCTACAGCTCCACTTCCAGCTTTTTTCTTATGTGGTGCTAAGGAATCGAACCCAGGGCCTCAGGCATGCAAGGCAAGCGCTCTACCACTGAGCCAACTTCCCAACCTACACACACACACACACACACACACACACACACACATTTAATTAAGTACAGATATTGCGGGTTTAAATTCTGAGCCTGGTTGCTATCCCTAAGCTTTTTTGCTCAAAGCTAGTGCTCTACGATTTTAGCACAGCTCCACTTCTGGCTTTTTGGTGATCAGTTGGGGATAAGAGTCTCACAGACGTTCCTGACTGGGCTGCCCTCAAAACCATGATTTTCACATCTCAGATCCCTGATACAAAGGATTACAGGCATCAGCCCCAGGGTGCCCAGCACTTGCACTTATTTCTGTTTATCAGAAATGGCATTTGTCTCTCTAAACCTCTGCTGTTATAAAAAGTTAGGTTTGGACTAGGTGATCTTCAACATCTGTTCTCCCCACTTTCTAAGCCCAGACCAAAATTCCCTTAAGCCAACTCTTCCCTGTTTGCCCTATCCCAGCTGGGAATAACTATGAGAATGTCCTTTCATGTCTCCACTAGACCACGAGTTGTGAAAACACAGCAGTATGCCTAGGGCAACTGCGCATGCCTCCTGTGAAAACTGCTGACACGAAAATGAAGTCAGACCCAGGCAAAATGTAAAGCCAGAAAAGCATCGGGGAGGAGGGGTAAGTAGAAGGAAGAGCTTGTGCTTTGCCTGTGTATTAAAGCAGTCTGAAGGATTTTCTGAAATAAACCCTTCTGAAATCCCATTCTTTACGTGCTTCACATATCTGCAGATATCTGTAACAAAATTTATCTTTTACATTTAACTGGAATAGACAAAAGACTCATAACAACAGCACATCCACCAGTGAGCTGAAGCCTCCAGTCTCTTAAGACCAATAGATTTAGAGCAACACATTTACATATCCTAGCAGCTCATGTCAACTTCTCCATATTAAAAATTAAAACCTCCCCTTCCCTTCCTTCTTGAGTTCTCCTGCGACCTTCTGTACTGTAGCAGATATTGCCCCTTATAATCCTTTTTTTTCCTCAGTGGATTTTTTTAACTATTGGGGATTTTTCCCCCTACTTCTTTTCAGGAGGAGTACCCCGATAGCTCTGGATAGAATATTAAAGTTGAATGCTGGAAGGAAATGTTTACATGATTGTGTTTCATCTCACAACCGGAATCTGGATCATCCCTGGCCATTTCACAGATGGAAAGAGGGCTTTTTTGCTTGTTTGTTTTGTTGCTTTTGTTTTTGGTACTGGGGCTTGGACTCAGGGCCTGGGCACACTGTCCCTTAGCTTTTTCCACTCAAGGCTGCTGCTCTGCCACTGAGTCACAGCTCACTTCTGGCTTTTTGCTGGTTAATTGGAGATGTAAGTCTGCCTAGGCTGACTGTGAACCGCGATGCTCATATTCTCAGCCTCCTGAGTAGCTAATCAACCAGGCGGGGGGGGGGGGGGGCAGCTTTAAGATGAATTCTGTCAGAGTTTTTTTTGTCATTTACCTCTGCAGCCTTTTAATTCTTCACTTGTAAATTGGAGACAGAACCTACTTCACAGGATTGAAGGGAGACGGGAAACGACTTTCACCATCTAAATACGAGTTTATTCTCCGGGCAGCCACCGCGCCCTCCCCCCCCCATCCCCGCGCGCCCCATCCCCGCGCGCCCCATCCCCGCGCGCCCCATCCCCGCGCGCCCCATCCCCGCGCGCCCCATCCCCACGCACCCCACGTGCTGCGCGTAAATAAGCGGGCGCGCATGCGCCGGGCCCCGGCTCCCATTGGCCGCCCACTGCCTGGGGGCAGCCGCAGGGCCGCTGGCCGCTCTGGACGTGGGCTCCGCTCCCCGTCGGTTGATCAGCGCGCCGTGGGTCGGTGCGTGCGGCCCTCCGGCTTTGCCCTCGCCATGGCCCCCTGGATGCGGCTGCTGTGGCTGCTGGCGCTGCTCCCGGGTGCGGCCCCCCGCCCGGCCGGGCCCGCGGTGGCCGACGCGCAGGCCTGGGGACCGCCGGCCCCCGAGCTGCTGGAGCCGGCCCGCTTCGCGCTGGAGATGTACAACCGCGGCCGGACTCCGGAGACGCGGGCCGTGCTGGGGGCCGTCCGCGGGCGCGTCCGCCGGGTGAGGGCGGGCGGGGGGACCGGGGCGTCGGGCCTGGCCTCAGGGATGGAGGAGGCTTGGCCTGGACTTGGGGTAGGGGCCTGGACGGTGGAGAGAGCAACCTCTGGACACCGGGGCGGGGCAGGGTTCCGCAGACGGGCTGTGCATCCAAAGGAGGAGGGGAGGCGGAGAAGGGGGTGGCTGGGCCCGGCTCACGTGCGCCTCCATCCAGGCGGGCGACGGCTCGCTGTACTCCCTGGAGGCCACCCTGGAGGAGGCACCTTGCAACAACCCCACCGTGTGCCAGCTCCCCGAGACCAGGAGCACCCTAGTAAGTGATGGGAGTACCTGTGTTTCCCCACCTCCAGCCAATCGGGGATCCCAGGCGGCACCTGCTCCACCCTGAGTCACACCGCAGGCCCCTAGGACCAGACCCAAGTTGCGGTGAAAAGATCGGGGTGGTGGTGCTGGCTGCGAACTCCTCTCCACGGTGATTGCCTTGGGGATGGGTGGTTCCCAGCCCTCAGACTGGCTTCTCCTCCCACCAGCTCTGCAGTTTCGAAGTCTTGAAAGAGGAAGGAAAACAAATGCTGCTGAGTAGAGAATGTAGTCCAGTGGATACCAAGGTTACAGGTGCTGGGATAGCCCAAGGAGGCTGGGATAGCCCAGATCAGATTTCACTCAGAGTTCAGCCTTGATGTCTTCTCTGTTCCACTCTTATCCAGACAACAGAAATGGGACTCTCGGCACATTCCTTTCAATGATGAAAGCAGCTCATCCATCCCAGGTGAGGAGCCCTTACCTGGAAGCCATCTGCTGCTTGTTTCCCTTCTCCTTTTACCTGGTGGAGTAGAGCAGAACTCCTTGTAAAGACCCTTCTGCCTTTCCAGGCCCTTTCTTCGAAGATTTCTACACTCTTCAGGGACTTCGTTGTCACCTATAACAAGACTTACGAGACAAGGCAAGGTGAGCATCCAGACTTGTCTGTACAAGTCCCAATCAGATAAGAACCTGTTCTCAATTTGGAGCCTTGGTGTTGGGGGAAGGAAAGGACATGAGAGGCGGTACATCTCAGAGGTCTTGTCCAGCCTTCCAGGACCGGGCAGCTATCCAAGGACTTGTCTTCTCCTATCTGGTCTTCCTTGTCAGAAGCTATGGGCAGGCCTGGGAAGGTGGCTCAGTGGTAGAGCGCTTGCCTTGCATGCATGAGGCCCTGGGTTCAATTCCTCAGCACCACATAAGCAGAAAAATAAAAAGCTGGAAGTGGCGCTGTGGCTAAAGTGGTAGAGCGCTAGCCTTGAGCTGAAGAGCTGAGGGACAGCGCCCAGGCCCAGAGTTCAGACCCCACGACCAGACCCCCCCCCCCAAAAAAAAGAAGCTATGGGCAGAGGAGAGTAAGGCAGAAATCAGATGGTTTTCATGATCTCTACTGAGTGATGCCCTTTTTGTTTTCTTGTGGTGCTAGGGATTGAACCCAGGGCCTTGTGTATGCTAGGCAAGTGCTCTACCACTGAGCTACATTCTCTAGGCCCCGGATGATGCCCTTTAGACCCCATTTTACACCTGGGGAGTCATCATTATTGGTTTTGGCTGCTACTTCATCACTTGTACATCTGTTCTCCTTCCCTAGTCCTACTTCTGCCCCAGGGTTCTGTCCTTAAAAAAAGAGCCAAGCCAGGCGCTAGTGGCTCTCAGGAGGCTGAGAGCTGAGGATCACAGTTCAAAGCCAGCTTGGGCAGGAAAGTCCGTGAGACGTTTTATCCCCAATTAACCACCAGAAAACTGGAAGTGGGGCTGTGGCTCAAGTGGTAGAGCGCTCACCTTGAGCTGAAGAGCTGAGGGGCAGCGCCCAAGCCCAAAGATCAAGTTCCATATCTGACCCCCCCCCCAAAAAAAAAAACCATTCAGAATACATTTACTCCCAGGGAAACCCTTTAGTGTTTATCACCCCTCCTCTAATCTGCCTGGAGTCCCAGCACCTCTTCTGCTCCTTGGTCCTCAGAACTCGAGCTGCGCATGTCCATCTTTTCCCAAAACATGATACAAGCACAGAAGATCCAGGCCCTGGACCGTGGCACGGCTGAGTATGGGATCACCAAGTTTAGTGACCTCACAGGTAGGGGTGGTCACCAGAGCTTGGGAGAGACAGGATCTTCTCCCAAGCCCCTCATGAGAGCTAAATATACATGTTCCTCTGTGCTCTGCCCACAGAAGAGGAGTTCCATACCATCTATCTGAATCCACTCCTGCATGAGATGTCTGGCAAGAAGATGAACCCAGCCAAGCCGGTGGATGAATCTGCACCACCTGAATTTGACTGGAGGAGCAAGGGCGCTGTCACTGAAGTCAAGAACCAGGTCGGAGCCCTAGAAGGGAGAGTGGGACATGGGCTGTGCATGGGGCTGCCAGGAAGGGGTCCAGCCCTGACCTCCCCTGTCTTTTGCAGGGCATGTGCGGCTCCTGCTGGGCCTTCTCTGTCACAGGCAATGTGGAGGGCCAGTGGTTCCTGAAGCAGGACACCCTGCTGTCCCTCTCAGAGCAGGGTGAGCATTCTGCTCCACCCTTCCGTCCCCAGCCTAGCAGCCCCTCTGGAGGGCTCCTTGGGACCAGCCTTCTGTCTCTTAGAGCTCGTGGACTGTGACAAGATGGACAAGGCCTGCCTAGGAGGCTTGCCCTCCAATGCCTACACAGCCATAAAGAATTTGGGTATGTATCAATGGGGTCAGGAGGAATAGCAGGTGCCACACCTCCTTGTACAAGGGGGAGAGACATGAGTTGGGGGTGGGGGGTAGGAGGAGTTGTCACACAGAACTGGGATCCAGTCTTAAAGCTGATCCTTATTGGCTGAAGACCTTAGACAAATAAGATCTGTCAGCCTCTGTTGGCTCATAAGTCACATGAACTTGAATTATGAAATGGGGCATCCCATGACCACATTATAAGACTGCCTTGAATTTCCAGAGAGAAAATAGATGTAAAGTCCTGGTACATAAAAGGGACTTAGTGGGGGGAATGGGGATTATGGAGATCTGTGTTCTTACTGCTTTGAGGTCTGTGGGTTTTTTGGGTTTTTTGTTTGTGCCAGTCCTGGGGCTTGAAATTGGCCTGGATGCTGTCCCTAAACTTTTTTTTTTTTTTTTTTTGTCGGCTGTGGGGCCTCAACTCTGGGCCTGGCACTGTCTCTCAGCTCTTCAGCTCAAGGCTAGTTCTCTGCCACTTGAGCCACAGTGCCACTTCCAGGTTTTTCTGTTTATAAGGTACTGAGGAATCAAACCCAGGGTCTCATGCATTCAGGGCAAGCACTCTACCACTGAGCCACCTTCCCAGCCCCCTAAACTTCTTTTGCTCAAGACTAGTGCTCTAGTTCTTAAGTATCCTTTTTTTTGGTAGTTTAGTGAAGGTAAGTGTTTCAAGCACTTTCCTGCTTGGGCTGATTTCTAACCTGGATCCTCGGCTCTCAGCCTCCTGGGTAGCTAAGATTGCAGGCGTGAGTCAGTGGTGCCAAACCAGGCAGCCAGCCACCTAATCCTTAATTAAGGTGTGTTGGCAGCTCAGTTTGGTGGTAGGCTGTAGTGGCAGGATAAAGGGCCCGAGGGACAAATGTGGATGGACAGAGACTGGTCTGGAGGTGTGGCAGGAGTCTGAGCTACATTAGGAGTGGATTGCTGAAGCAGGACAAGCAGGCCAAGGTCAAGAGGTCCAGACAGGCTGTCGTGCGGCAGAACTGAGAGTGTAGTCCCATGTCTGCTGATTACTGTTGCCCCACTTCCTCCAATTCTAGCGGTGTCATCCCTTGGACTGAGGAGATGACTCAAGGTGGAGGGTCTATAGTCTGTGGGCTGGGGGATGGGTGATGAGGGACACAAGGCTTGTGTGCAAAGGCTCAGCACACATCTAGCTAGGAGAAGGGGACTAGTGATCAGCAGGGACCCACTCCTTTTTTTTCTTTTTTTTTTGGTCAGTTGTGAGGCTTGAACTCTGGGCCTGGGCTCTGTCTACCAGTTGAGCCACAGTACCACTTCCGGTTTTCTGGTGGTTAATTGGAGATGATCATCTCAAGGACTTTCCTGCCCAGCTGGCTTTGAACCACAATCCTCAGATCTCAGACTCCTGAATAGCTATGATTATAGGTGTGAGCCACCTATGATCCTACCCAGTGGGTCCACTCTTTGTTATTGCCACTGTCCCCCAGGAGGGCTGGAGACCGAGGATGACTATAAGTATCAAGGTCACCGGCAGGTCTGCAACTTCACTGCACAGAAGGCCAAGGTCTACATCAATGACTCTGTGGAGCTCAGCCAGGATGAACAGAGTAAGTGGCAGGGGGGAAGGGGCGGGCCGAGGGGGTCTGGGCCCATGTGCCACTGACACATCCTCCCCTGTCAGAGCTGGCAGCCTGGCTGGCTAAGAAGGGCCCGATCTCTGTCGCCATCAATGCTTTTGGCATGCAGGTGAGACCCTGACCCCAACACTCCTGCTCCAGCTCCTGCCCACCCCTTCCCTGCTTCTCCTCAGAGCCGGCTCTACTCCTTATTCTCCTCCTTCCCTCCCCCCATCCAGTTCTACCGCCACGGGATCGCCCACCCACTCCGGCCCCTCTGCAGCCCTTGGTTCATTGATCATGCTGTGCTGATTGTGGGCTATGGCAACCGTGAGTTCCACTGATTGTTTGTCCATCCCCCATGGACTGCAGGCAGGAGTTGGATAGCAGTGTCCCTCAGGCCCTCTGAGAGGAAACTCTGGGAAATGACTAGAAACCTTGTCGTTAGCCTAGCATCCCCTCTGTGGATGGGAAAGCTAGTGTTGGGAGAAGTTGAACAGTAATGCTGTTCCCTAGAGGTGTGCTAGGCCCCTATGAGGGTGGCAGGTAGGCCTCCCTGTTTTCTGGTCTTTTCCTAGTATGTGTCACCCAGTAGGGCCCACTGCAGGTATTGGAAGGGAACAAAGTACTTGAGGCTCTGCCTAGAGAACTGGAGGTTCCTGACCCTTTGTGCTCCACACTGCTCTCCAGGCTCTGAGATTCCCTTCTGGGCCATCAAGAACAGCTGGGGGGCTGACTGGGGTGAGAAGGTGAGTCTTGGCCTGCTTGGCCCTTGGCCCTTCAGCCCTGATCCTGCCTGAGCCCTCTAACTGGCCCCTTCTCCTCTCAGGGTTACTACTACTTGCATCGTGGGTCCGGGGCCTGTGGTGTGAACACCATGGCTAGCTCAGCAGTGGTGATCTGAGGAAGCTATTGGTGCAGAACCTGCTGAGCAGAGAGTCCTTTTCCTGGCCCCTATGTCCAGGCCCCTCCCCAGGAGGCACAGCTGGCTGAGAAATAGGCACTGGGTACTTCAAGAGGGTGAGCAGACTGCACTGGGCCCCATATTTCCTCCACCCTACTCCTACCCTGCCATTCTTCGGCTGAACCATTGGTGAATTGTGGTTGCTCAGGGGATCCCGGGGTCATTGGGTGCTTTCTGTGGCAGCCAGAGTCGGGTCAGGAACCCTGGGCATAGGATAAGGAGCACAGAATGAAAAGTATTCCAGACTTCAACCCAGTTCCATCCTCAGCAGGCTCTGGCTTCCTGCCTTGGCTTTCCTCTGTCTGATGCAATGTTATTTTCTGGTCCCCCTGGATTTGGGGACAGAGTCCTACATCTAGGGAACTTGTAATCACCCTTTACTAACAGCAATAAAGAGATGTCCTGGTTCCCAGTGTTGTGTAAATGTTGGGGAGCAAGGAGGGGCAGGCCCAGTAGGGTAGCTGGTCCTTCCCAGGAGCCCTGGGGGACTAGTTTCTGCTTCAGGAACCAAAAACAGGAGATGGGGAGAGGCCCATGGATGGATCTTTATTCAGAAATACATGGCTGGCCAATCTCTGAGGCCTTTGCTCCAGGGACTGAATGGAATCAGCCTCAATGAACACTCGCTCTCCTTTTTCCACCAAGAACGATGGGTCAAAATCAGAGGTCACTCTCCCCATAGAGGGCACTGGAGAAGGCCACGTAGTCCAGGGCTCCAGCAGGAGCCCCAGAGCCCTTGTAGGGTGCCATCCTGCGGATGCAGTACTCAGCCTGCTCAGCTGGCAGCTCCCGCCGCAGCTCTTCCGGGGTGATGTAGTTCTGAAAAAGAGGAGGCATTGAGGGCTGACATCCTGAGTCCTGCCTCCACCCACCAAGCCACTCCTCTGCCCAAGTCTCACCTTGTCTCCTGCCAGGATCTTGAAGGAAGCTACAACTTGCTCGGCTGTGTCCGTCTCTGCTGTCTCTCGGGTCATAAAGTCAATAAAGGCCTGGAAGGTCACGACCCCTGCTGCGTTGGGGTCCACCATGGTCATGATGCGAGCAAACTCCACTTCTCCCTGCAAAGATAGAGGGCAGACACTGTGCCAACGATTGCCAAAGCCAGGAGGCGCTCAGCATTCCCTCCTGTGAATAGTCCCGGCCTTGCCCTGCCTATTACTTGCAAGGTGCTTCCTCACAAGAACTTAGTTAACCTAAGCTTTCGGGAATCTTTCTTGCTAGGCTGAAAGCTGCCTCCTGCCTGTGGCAATGCTCCTGACGCTCATTGATCCTGAGGTCCACACCCCTCCATAGTGCTGCTTCCATGCTGTTTCCTAGAGATAAAATGGTGCACACAGATGTAGAACCAAGTTCCTTTACCTCTCTGAGTCTGCTGGTCCTCTTGGGTGTAGAGAGTAGAGATGAGGGATGTGGGATGTGTAGGGGGAGGTAATCAGTGTGAAAGGAGGGAGGGTGCTGGGGACACTCGGGGTGGGGGCCACTCACCAGGTCGTAGCCCATGGAGATCAGGCAAGCTCGGAAGTCATCAGGTTCCATCATCCCATTCCGCTTCTATAAGGGATGGATTGATGGATGTCAGGCTTGGTCCCCAGTCCCACCAGCCCCCAAGTCTTTTACCTCACAGGGCTGGGCCCTCACTCACCCTGTCAAAGTGGTTGAAAGATGCCCGGAACTCGTTGAGCTGCTCCTGGCTCAGGCCCTTGGCATCTCGGGTCAGTACCTGGTTCTCCACCTCATTGATGGTGCGGGCGATGGAGGTGAGCAGCTGCTCCCAGCCCACTCGGATGTGCTAGAGAGCAGAAGATGGGCTGGTAAGTGGGAGGCCAGTGCCTGACTCATTCTAGTTCTGCTCCCAACTAGCCAGGTCCCTGGGCAAGTCCTCACCTTCACTGGTCTTCTTTCCTCATCTGGGTATTCTACTAGGTGACCAACTATAGCCTTAAAGTTTGATGATTTATCATATAAGGGGTGAGTGTGTGCGGGTATGCGCACACACTGGAAGGGGCTTGAATTCAGGGATTTGTGCTCTTAATGTGGCTCTTTTGCTCAAGGCTGGCTCTCTGTCATTTGAGCCACACCTCCATTTCTGGCTTTTTTGCTGGTTAATTGGAAAGAAGAGTCTTGGATTTGTCTTTACAGACTGACTTTGGACTGTGATCCTCCAGATATCAGCTTCCTGAGCAGCCAGGATTACAGGCATGAGCTGTGTCCCTTTTATTGACCAGTCATCCATGGCCAATCCTAGCCTAGCTTCAGGCTGCTTTGTGATACTTTCCTTCATCGGGGCTCTATCCCCATGGATAACATTGGGAAGAGACTTGGGGACTCTCCTGGACAGACAGGCTCTGTGATTCACCCCCCTCTACTTCCCCAGCCCATGCTGCCTTCTCTCCAGAGGATGGGACCCCCACCTCCATGCTGTAGACTGTGTGCTTGTTGTCAAAGACCAGGCTCTCCTGCAGCAGCTGGTGGTCACCCTCCAGCCGGTCGATGTTGCTCTTGTAGTTGATGATGTTCTGTTCCTGCTGCCTCAGCCCTGCCATCTGCTCCTCCAGAGAGCCAGCCAGCCCGGCTGCCAGTCGCCCCACCTCCTACAGGGGTTACCAGATCAGATCAAGGCCTACCAAATCACTCTGATCCAGCTCTGGGTGTACTCTCTCAGGAGTCCTTACCTCCACCTTCGCCTGGATCCAGGGACCTACAGCATTGGCCTGGGCAGCAAACTGTCTCCTGAGCCTCTCGTTCACCTGCTGCCGTGCCAGCTCCTCTTGTAGGGTCTGATCACGGCTGGGTACAAGCTTTCGGACCTGGGAAGGAGAGTGGTATGCTAGAGACAGGAGATGGCTCTGAACAGGTTCAGTTCTTGTGACTTTAAGCTGAAATAGGGCTATATGGACAAGCTATGGGGCAAATCAATCGACCTTTGCAGGCCCCAGGTTTCATGTCTGTAATTGAGCCCAGCTACATCATTTATAACTAATACACGTGGAGGTGGAAGATGTCCACGTGGTATCTCATTCTGCACTTGAGTCCTGATAGGAGAATGCAGCTGTGATAGCCATTACTTAGATGAGGCCACAACAGGCAAGGTGGCTCCTCAGTGCCACCTGGAGGCTGAACACCCAAGATCTAGAGGTAGACTTTATTTCCACTCTCATAGGACATCACAGGCTCAGCGCAGTTGAAGTGTGTCCGAGTGAGTGGAAGCTGCCAGTGACACTGACCGTATCCCATTTGTTGTTGATGTCCTGTGAGGTGAGGGTGATGTAGGGGTTGGTGGACTTTAGTGCCAGCCCATATGTTTGACAGATCTTCTGGATCTCGGTCTGGATGCCCAGGATGGCACCTCGTTCTCGGTCAGCCTCAGGTAACGTTGCCTTGAACTGCTCATGGGCTGTCAGTAGGCTCTGGGAGTGAAGGCAGAAAGGAGAGACAGGTCATTCAGCAGTCCTGGCAGCACTAGTCCAAGAACCCAGGCTTCCTGCCCATTCCCCAGGATGCCAAAGGAGTAGCGGACATGTAGGGCCAGCTTCTCTGCCGTCCACTCGGCAATCCCCAGAATGCCTGCACATACCTGAGTCTCCTCTACTGAGTGCACCAGCCACACGTCCTGCAGGTCCTCCACCGCCCCGTCCAGCCAGTTGTTGAAGGGTGCAGCTCGTCTGGCAAACTCAAGCTGCAGCTGGTCGATGGTTTCCAGGAGCTTCTCCATGCGCTAGAGGGGGAGGAGGATAGCGGGTCAGCTTCCCCCCTCCCCCCAGCCTGGCGGCCTCCCCCTCAGCTCCCTGCCCCGCCCCTACCTCCAGCGCATCTCGCCTCTTCTGGGTCAGCGTGCCCAAGTTGTCCCACTGGTCACAGATGGCCTGGCAGCGGCTGTTCACGGAGGCCGCATCATGGTAATCCAGCTCACTGAGGGAGAGGGAGGGTGAGTGTAGGGCCAGTCCTTAGCCTAGATTTCCCCTGCCTGCCTGCCTTCCTAGGGCTGGAACCCGCGCCCCGGGGGATGGCGAAGGCAGCCAGGACAGGGGAGGAATAGGAATGGGGCGCATTCCTGCGGGAAGGTGGGGGCCCGCGATCCTCAAACTCCAATCGAGTGGCAGACCCTGGGGATTGGGGAGTGGGGTTATGTGAGAGGGAGCGGCGCAATAGTTAATTACAGGTACCACGGGCACCACTGCGTTAAAGAAACCGAGAAAACCCAGAGAGCACAGTGGAGAGCCCATCAAAGCTCAACCCGAGGGGCGTGGTCAGACGGATGACGTAATGGCAGTCGCGCTGCCACACCCACTTGTGCTCCTGGGGCCCCGCCCACTTGTGCTCCTGGGGCCCCGCCCACTTGTGCTCCTGGGGGCCCAACCCACTTGAGCTCCTGAGGCCCCGCCTACTTGAGCTCCTGGGCCAGCGCGGCGATGTGCTCCACGCGGTCCTGGTGCGCAGCCAGGTCACTCTCAAAGGCCTCGTGGCGCCGCAGCAAGGCCCGCACCTCCTGTAGCGAAGCCGAATCGTAGTCGCGCTGGTTCAGCATCTCCTCCTTCCCTGATCCGAGAGAGGGTCTGCTCTGATCACCTGGCGGCGGCCTGGGCCGGAGCAGGGGCTTCGGGCAGGGCTGCGAGGGTAGGCCATGGCACCGGCCCACCCTACACCTGGGATTTGCTCTGCATGTCAGCGGGATAAAGAGCAACCCCTGATCTTCCGCATGGCCTGCAAATACCGCCAGCATCCCCTGACCCCAACACAGTCCTGCTTGGTCATTACTACAATTTGAAGTTCTTTGGTAGCCACTTCTCAATGTCTCTGTGAGCACCAAAAGCCCTCTGACTTGGTTTCCTTTGTTCACTACTGTTTACCAGCACCTGGCAAAGTGCTTGATTTGGTAATATTCATTGGGTGAATGAATGATAAATCTAAGAGTACTTGGAAGTGATCATTACCATATATTTACAAATAAAGCCCAACCAATAGCAGTAGGGACCCTTGTCTGAGGAAGTTTAGGGTTACAAAGGCTACACAAGAGTCACAGTCACTAGCTGTAAATTTTAAAAAAATCTTGTTGTTTTGAGTCATGTTCTTATTTTGTAGCCCAGGTTAACTTCAACTTCCTAAGTGCTGGGATTTCAGGCACAGGCTACCATGCCTGGCCCACATTTAAGGAACTGTAATGCCAAATTACTGTTATTTGTTATGTTCATGCTCCATTATTAATACTTGCTCGTTGAATTTAGGCAAGATTCATTCTTTTTTGTTGTTGTTGGGTTTTGAAGTCAGGGCCTGGGTGCTGTCCCTGAGCTTTTGCACTCTAGGTTAGCACTCTACCACTTGAGCCACACCACCACTTCTGGTTTATCTGGTGCTTATTGGAGATAGTCTCATGGACTTTGCTGCCTGGGCCGGCATTGAACTGTGATCC